GGCATACTTTGCCTGTGGTCTGATTGTTTTTGTTTTGTTTTAAGCCCTACGATGGCTCCCAAGCGTCCTGGTCAAGGAAGACCTTGACCGTTAATTAAGGTGAAGGTAAAACTCCTGCATATGATGGTACGCTACATCAAGAAGGATGGAAAGAATATATAAGAGCCATATATGTTTTTATTTTTATACATTCCATTATGTATACACACACACACACACATATATATATACACACACACACAGTGGTACCTCAAAACTCGAACTTAATCCGTTCAGAACTCCGAATCGAATCCTAAAAAGTTCGGGTTCTGATCGAATTTTCCCCAAAAAATTACACCTAAATATGTTTTTTTTTTGGATTTAAACACAAAATGAACCGGATAAAACAAGAAGTGCATATACTGTACTAAACACATCTAAGCACATGTATCAAAACAGTCATTTGTAAAGTAAGAAAATAAATGTATCCAATGTGTAAAGATAAAAAAAAAACAATGTGTCCTGCTCCAATCGTCCGCTCCTTCCGTGTGCCACGCCCCCTCGTTAACCCAGTGTGGAATCCCCCTGTTTCTGGTTGTTGTCATCAGTCCTCTGTATTTAGTCTGCGTTTCAGTTTGTTTCCCCAGTCCGGTCATTGTATTGTCCGTCTGCGTTTTGCCTGCCTTACCTGTAATTAAACCCCGTATTCCCCGATACCCTGACGTCTGCGCCTTTGTCTCCATTCCGTCCCGGTCAGCACGACAATATTATTATAATCAAATTTATTAATGGTTTATTATTAATATTAAAATAATTAATAAGAAATATTTACTTTAAAATGTATTATATATATATATATACACTCATCTAAAGGATTATTAGGAACACCATACTAATACGGTGTTTGACCCCCTTTCGCCTTCAGAACTGCCTTAATTCTATGTGGCATTGATTCAACAAGGTGCTGAAAGCATTCTTTAGAAATGTTGGCCCATATTGATAGGATAGCATCTTGCAGTTGATGGAGATTTGTGGGATACACATCCAGGGCACGAAGCTCCCGTTCCACCACATCCCAAAGATGCTCTATTGGGTTGAGATCTGGTGACTGTGGGGGCCATTTTAGTACAGTGAACTCATTGTCATGTTCAAGAAACCAATTTGAAATGATTCGAGCTTTGTGACATGGTGCATTATCCTGCTGGAAGTAGCCATCAGAGGATGGGTGGCTCGGTGGCTGCCTGCGGGTCCTGCGCCTCCGGCTCAGCTGTCGCCTCCGGGTCCCCCTCCGGTGCCTCGTCGCCCGCCTGTGGTCCCTCCGATGGCACCTTGTCGGCCGCCTCCGGGTCCCCCTGCTACGGCTTGCTGTCGGACGGCACCTTCCCCCTCCTGCCTGCCTGCGCCAGTGTCCCCTCCTGCTCCCTCCTTATCTCCTCTGTTGGTCCCTCCACCCGTCTCCTTGCCCCCTGCGTGGTCCCCTCCTGCTCCTGCCTCCCTGTCGCCTGCAGCCCCTCTGGCCGCCGCCCCTCGCCCGCCTTGGCTCCTTCGGGCTCCCCTGGTTCCTCCTCCCTTTGCCTTTCTCCCTCCTGTTTCTGCTCCTGCTCCTCCTGTGGGTCCTTTGTTCACTCCTGGTCCTTTTGTTCCGGCTGTGGGTGTTCCCCCTGTGTCTCCCTTCCTGGTCTGTCTGTCCGCGTTCCCCGTCCTTTGTCAGGTTTTGTCTTGGTTTCTGCCCCTCTGCTTGTTCTGCGTGTCTGTTCTGTTTCCGGTTCCCTGTTGATGTCTTGCATTTTTGTCTTTCAGGTCCTGTTCCCTCGTCTCGTCCGTCGCCTCCCCTCGGGCACGCCCGGTGTGCGTGCCTTTGGGGGGGGTTCTGTCACGCCCAGCTCCGTCCAATCCTCATGTGTGCCACGCCCACCTCGTTACTTCGTGTTAATCCCTGATTGTCATCACCTGTTTCCTGTTCCTTTTGACTTGACCTGTGTATTTAGTCCATGTCTCAGTCAGTATTCCCCAGATCCGTCCTTGTATTGTTTAATGTTCGTCGCCTGTCTGCCCCGATTAAACCCCGTATTTCTGAAGTTACGGCTCTCTCGCCTACTTCCTAGTTCGCCCGTCCGCCGAACGTGACAGTCTATATCGTGTATTTTCACCTATCGCTGATGGGTCTGGAATGCATCAACCGTGATAGGTGGGGGATCACTGTAAAGATATTTTAACCAGCAGTGACCTAATTGTTCACAGCAGCTAAAACTACACATACAGGCAAGGCCTCAAGGTGATGGGGTCATGGAAATTGAAAATAAATTTTAATAATAGTGTTTGAGGACAAAGGGTTAGAATCACACAGAATTACACCCAATAGGAAAGAAGTATACTGTAAGTGTCTCTACACTTGACCCCACAGACTGATTCTTGAATGCAGTCAGTATTAATCTAGGAGATCAAGGCTAGAGTGTAGTGTTATGAGGAACCATTATATATGCAATATATTTGTGCTTGGGTCCATTTCATGGAATCCATCTGTTATATAACAAGAAATAAATTGGGTTTTTGTTGCTGAACTGCAGTACGCTTAAGATATTACAAACAAAACACATCAATGGCCTGAAAACTGATAGGCTCCGTGTATTTTAAAGTTATATAACTTGATCGATACATGTACACATGACTTGAGAGGAAATAATGCAAATGGCCATGAATTGCTGTGTATACAAATAGACAAAATCACATTTTGGCCACTGGGAGGAGCTCTCTTCAACTTGAATTTTAAAGTGAATCTAGTCAACAAAGTGTATCATCCTCTGCTTAAAAAACACAAAAACAAGGATATAACACTAAATTTCAAATGACAAGAAAACATATACATTCCATATACTATTTGCTCAGATTGTGTGTCAGTCAAAGGATGGTATAATGTTTAACACTGTAGTACAAACCTCCAGGTTTGTATGGAGCATAACCCCATGTGTTTTTCAGGGTATATCCTGGATACTCAAGGTGATCCCAGCAGCCCAAAACATTTATCTCAGAGCTGAGTATACGATGTCCCCTAATCTTACCTTCTGATAGATTCCAGGATCACTGTGACGCTGCCCTGGCTAAGGTGTATGAGAATCTGATGCTCTACTAACCAGCTGCAAACAAAAAAAAAATCAACAAATATATTTCTATTGTTAAAATAAAATCCATGATCCAGAATAACATGCTGCACTGCAGACCATTTTAGGGACCAAGAACAGTATTTTCATTTTAGAAGAAAGAACATCTCATTAACAATCCATAAGCCAGCGTGTCCCAAACCGGTCCTCTAGTTTTTGCTCCCCCCCAGCTCCCTGAAGGACAGTCCACATTTTTGCTTGGTAGGGAGCTGGGAGGGAGCAAAAACGTGGACTGTGTACAGGTTCCCGAGAACCGGATTGGGAGACACTGCCAAAATCTGGTCCACAAGCCTTGGTCCACTGTTTTTAGCAAAGGCTTCTCTCAACCAGCATTGCATGCAAAAAAACTGATCTGCCTGGCCACATCTGCCTGGTCACCCATCTTCGTTTAACCTGCCGAGTGCAAAAGATATGGGGGAAGGGAGGGAGGAAGAACCGCTGCTTGGGCATGAACAGGAACGGCGTTACAGGCCGCAATGGGCCGCTACCACACAGTCACTGTTTCATTTCACCAAAACCAGTAGACCTGGACTGAAAATGAAGTCAAACCTTTTTCTAACACACTGTTTAGATCATAAACCAGGTTAGTTCACGGCTGATACAAAGGAAATGCAGCTTTATCAGAAACAAATAGATTCACTGATATACAAACTCAACCCCAAACCCCAAGGACTTTGGCTCTAGTAGAGGGATTCTGTTAAAAGCATTTTGACCTGTTTTTTGTGATTCACTCTACAAGCCACCCCACCACCACCAAAATAATTTCTAGTTCCTAGTTTGATGAAATAGGGCTTCAAGAAAGATTTGTGAAACAAGAAGATTCTGTTCTGGAGATTCAAGTTCCCTTTTCCCTTCACCACTGACCTGTAAAATGTGTCAGGACCCATTTAGCATGAGAGAACATTATATCTGACCCTGCAATCTCAAGGCGCTGGCCTCATTCAGCTTGACCATGAAGTCAAAGGATCCTCTGTGAAGACGACCCTCTTCTGACTTCCCAAATAACACCATTGTGGAGCCAGACCTGCTTTACTGTCACTTCCTAGAAGTTAATACTGCTGAAATACTTAACTTACAACCAGTGTGCGAAATGCCCGTCAATATTCGGGGGGGCCCCCCCATCTCCCTATTGTTGCGCAATACCGATCTTGAGACCCCCCTTAAAATTTTGCTTTTGAGGCTTTCAGGGGGTCTCATAGATTAATCGGGGGTATCAGACCCCCCCAGACCCCCCCGTACTCCACACTCTGGTTACTGCGTTTTCCACAAGCCGTACTCTAGCCGAGCTGCAAAGAGACCGTTTTTCATTGTAAATTGTCAGAACCTTACCTGAGCAGTATTTGCGCTGACACGGCCTTGCTTATTAGTAGAGCCAAAAGCTGATTGCATCATGATCATCAGATTGGTTGATATGCATGGAGATACCAGTGATCTGCTTTGATATGCATGGATTATTTGAAGGACAAGAGGGCATATTCTATATATTATTCATTATTTCACAAATAAGTATTGTTCATGACATTCTATCGATGCATTCCTGATAATTTTCTACTTGAAAAAGTATTATACGATGGCTGAATGCAATGGATTTCTAATGCAATTTTACACAAGTTAATTGTAATTCTACTAGCATTTGATGCAAACATAACAGACTTGCTAGCGGAAATTAGCACACAGTAAATCATGAAGAACACTGTGAAGAGTAAATGAGCGTCTCTTCGGTTTTACGTCACTGTCGCTCTCCAGACCTGGCAACACCTTTACTGAACCAACTTTCCTGCAGTGGAAAACCCAAATTGGGGCCAGTGCTGCCCCACCTTAATTGGAGTGTCTAGCGGGGACTCAGGAACACTCACTCAGATGAAAGGGCAGCTGCACAACCGGTGTTTATTTACATATTGTGAAAGAAAACAACCCAAACCAGCTCTGTGTCAGTCTCTGTCCAGCCTGGTTCCTTCTCTGCCCCAGTTAGCTGGAGAGGTGCGCTTAATGCAGTCCAGTCCTCCCCTCAGGATGAGTCACAGGTGAGGCTCGGCAGGGAAGGATCAGCTGGGTTGAGTAACAAGGCAGCAGCTCCATTCCATACTACAATAAGCCCCCCTCCCCTTTCGAGCACAGCCACCAGGGTGAAAGACCCAGCAAGTCCCTATTGCTGGGCACCCAGAAGAAGGGCAAGGTGGAGAGGGCACCACAACCAAGCAGGACAGCTCCCAAGCATCCACCAGGGCACCAGAAGGCCAGGCAGTGCTGTGCAAATGACCCCCGGGGCAGCCGGCGGCACCAGAGGGTCAGGTGATGCAGCAGGGACTAACTCCAGGGTGAGAGGTGGCACCGGAGGATCAGGAGGCACCAGAGGAATGGCCTCTGGGTTACTGGATGACACCGGAGGGCCAGGCAGTGCAGTAGCAATGGACTCTGGGACAGGGGGTAATTCGAGAGGGCCAGGAGGCATCAGAAGGCCAGGAGGCACCACAGGAACAGTCTCCAGGACAGTGAGTGGTGCTGGGGAATCAGTAGGCACTGCAGGAACAGGAAAGGAGGGAGGACATTCCCCACACACAAGGTTCTCTGGCCTGGTCTCCACAAGTTCATCATAGCAATAGCAGAACCCTGGCTCCATGTAGCCGCAGTGTTGTGGGTGGTATCTGGGTTCCCCACACCAAACGCACCATGCAAGCTCCAGGGTCCCCATCTGCCGCCTCTTCGGACTGCACAGCAACTCAAGTCAAACCTTCAACTTCAAGGATGGGCTGCATGTCCCTGCCCATTGCTCCACCGCCCGGTAGAAGAGATCCAACCGGTCGAAGAATCAGTCTGCTGTCGGCTGACTGCCTACTGGGCTCTTCTTGGTGTTTTCCTGGTCCAGGTTTCAGTCCCTTATTACTCACAAGCAGAAACAGATGTGAAAATTAACCCAAATACTGAACGTCACACACGACCTTATCAACAGGGCAGCACTGGCAACAAGCAGTTGCCGAGGGCCTAACAACACCCAGCGAGGCCGGGCTGGTGCCTGCATTCTCCACCAACGCGGCAGAAGCCCTAGGCCAGTGCTGCCCCACCCCAGCTGGAGTGCCTAGCGGGGACTCAGGAACACTCACTCAGACAAAAAGGCAGCTACACAACCGGTGTTTATTTACATATTGTGAAAGAAAACAACCCAAACCAGCTCTGTGTCAGCCTCTGTCCAGCCTGGTTCCTTCTCTGCCCCAGTTAGCTGGAGAGGTGTGCTTAATGCAGTCCAGTCCTCCCCTCAGGATGAGTCACAGGTGAGGCTCGACAGGGAAGGATTAGCTGGGTTGAGTAACAAGGCAACAGTTCTGCCCCATGATTGCAATTTGTTTTGCGGGTGGTGTCTCAGTTTGGGCGTGCTGCTACGCTATTGGGCGAGGTACTTATCTTGAACACCTCCAGTAAAATGTCTGGTTGTATAAACAGATATAAACTGTGAATCTTTCTGGATAAAGGTGTCAGCAAAGCAATTAAATATAAAAACACTTTAACTGGATAATCCTGAGGCACAGAGATATAGGAGCTCTCTGCGCTAATCCAAAAAAGCTTATGCTTGCCACATGTAAAGTTCTTCAGAAACAGGGATTTGATGTACCAATTTGCTGCAAACCTATTGAGAGGAGCTGAAATCAGAGCCCATTTCACAGAGGCAGCAAAACTTCCAGTGAGGTCCTTCTGCCTTGTGGGTTATGGAAGGGCAGTCACCTGAATGGAATGTTCTTCATCTTTTCAGAGTTGTCAGTCTTCAGTTTGTCATTTGCTATGGCTGTCCCATATGGCTGCCCCTTTATTGAAGGCAGATCTCAGTTTATAAATTTTCAACTTCATAAACGACATCATCCCAAATTACTTTTCATATTCAATTGATCTGATGTTTTTAAGTTGTCGACTTTTCAATCATTAATGTTGAATTTAAGTTCTTAGGTTTACTCATAAGCAGAGTGGGATCAGTTTTGGAGATTTATAGCCTGTTGGCTGGCTGTCAGGATGTACTTGACTATTAAATGGTATCTTTTCTTTATAACCTCATTAAACATAATTGAAACCCAGACTCACAAATCTGATCAGCGTGATTGGTTAAACAGCTGAGTGATTTCGGCTTTCAATCCAGCTTCGTCTGCTGTTCGATTATCTCAGCGCCACCTGCATCCGAATTCTCAGTGTTCGTTTAACACTCATGGCAGCTATATATGCACTTTCCCTGTTAAAGCGAACACTCTTTGTGTTAAAACAAGCACCCCCTTAAACGAGTACTGAAAGATTTGCCCAGCTTTTTGTAATTCTCATTGGATCGCCATCACATTTCCCGCGGAAAGGCAACCCAAGAAACAGCATCACTTTAAAATTAGAATTCTGCTGTATTTTACTGCAACCATCATCACAAAAAGCAGCAGGTGATAAAAGTAAAGCAAATCTGAAAATAATACTTTAATAGCATGTCCAAGGAGAATACATGATACAAGAAATTAATAAGATATTTCTCTCATTTTGATAAAGGTTTACTGCTTAAATAATATGTCAACACGGAAATGATTTATACTAGAAAGTAATTTGGTTTGCTGGAAATAATTAAGATAAAAGTAAATCAAATATTTTCTGAAAGTATTATATTAGGACACCCATGGAATGATATAAAACAGTATGTATGCACATTGAGTGTGCACACAAATGTGCTGGGAAAACATATTTGCATAGCATCTAACAGTTACAGCAAGTTCTATAGTAATGTTTCTGTTCACTGATATCATTAAAAGAAACAATGCAAATCGCATGCGTCATGAGATGTGTCTTTAATTCCGTCGTGACACGGAGAGAAACGCCCTTTAATTCGGAAACGGATAGGCCAACATAGTAAAATCTTCATTGCACATTTAATTATTGTCATTTCATTGCGCATAAGTCATTTACTTTACTTGCGAAACACAATGTCTGAACTTCTCAAAATGGCAGCGGTAGAGATTACATGGTTTTCAACATTTAATGTACACGTGAATCGATTATGTGCGCAAAATATCTAATTAAGCCAGTGCGCTCCGCAGTGCCACTGCGGAAATTAAAGATATTATGTAAATGAGCCGTAGACTGTGTTCCAGACACTGCAGATGAGGAGTTCATGAAATATCATAGTTTCAGTGCTAAGGTCCGACCTCGATTTAAATGCAGACATGAAAATATATCTACGGTACGTGGCGGCCAGGCGCCCCCCGTCCGAGGCAAAGTGAAATTGGCTGGCAAGTCGGCGCCCCCTCATAAGCTGGCGCCCTATGTCGCTTATAGATAAGACTGGGCGGACCTGTATGGGTCTCTTTCAGTTAAAATCACGTTTTTAGGAGTCATTCATAGAAGTAACATAAATGGCCTCACAAATCTGGACCCACAACCTCTACCACATAATGTTATAATAAAACTGGGAGGTGTTGGTAGAGCTGACATTGTATCATTTGCATTTCCTATCTGTACTTTTATGGTCACATCAATGACATGTTCTTCATTCTTTCCTTGGTTGCCTTGTGTCAGGTATTTTGTAGCGAAGACTTGCATAGCACATTGCACTTTGAGGTCTTCCTGAGCGTCTGCAGAGCGGAACAGACCAGTCAGAAAGGCGGTGACACACGTGTCACCTTAGCTGACGTTGTCGCTGTGATCGCGATTTTTTTTTGTTGCGGATTTTCTTGTTTTCTTCGTCAGAACAAGGAACTGTTCCTGGCGCTGAATCTCGAAAAGAAAACTCTCCACAACAGGTAAAAGATTCGAAAACAAATTGTCTTGACAAAACGACTTGTATCCTGCTTTCATACAGTTAGTAGTGGCTGCGTTAGGGTTACACACTAATACATGGTAAACACACTTCCGATTTTACTTAAGTTTCCTAAAAGTGTATCGGGTCCACAACTTCTTGATAATGACATGGTTTACTTACGTGTGCTAATGTTACTCATGTGAACAATATTCCTATCGAGATCTCTCCTGGCTCTCGTGATATAATTAAGTTACAGATTTCATGGTCCGTTAGTTGTTTAGTGATTATTCTTTTTGTCGATTTTTACTTTGTTTCAGAACAAATCAGCTGCTAATGTAGGTTTTTCCACTCGAATTGGCATCAGATAATGTGAAAGACAACAAACACGAGTCGGGGTATCAGCTGGTTAGTTCTGCTTAGTTAGTGGTCGACAGCGGTGGTAGATCTTAGCTTATGCCCACGGACTGTTTCATTCTGCGCGTATCTGTATGTGAAGTGAAATGTCCATGCCTGTATTTACTTTTAGATCTCTGTCCTTATTTGTAAAAAAAACTTTTCCTTTACAGCAAGGTTCCTTAATCGATGTGACATAAAGTGCGAATACCCGAACATAATACAATGGATTGTATACAATTTTATTAAAACGCCGAGATATTTCATAATTTCTGAGCTGAAATAATAATAATAAAGAAATCTTACACGTGTTATGAATTTGCAACGTAAGCCAAACAGCGCTATAAATAATTTTTTTTTTAATATAAATTATAATGCATGTTGCTGATTTTCCTTTCTTGCGTGATCAGATTGGCGTGGTAAATTCTTGTTGCAGTTGCATAATTTCACGAGTATACTTTGAACACATAAAACAGAAGAAATACAGGCAGAATATGGTAAAGGTGGACATGTTTTAGTATTCTCCAAGTTTTCTGTTTTTTTTTTTCTTGGCATGCAACTTAAGAAAAAAAAAAAGTGACCAGTTGTATTGGAGAGTTGACCAGGAGTCCACTCGTTTGGCGTGTATATGTAAAATTAACAAGCATACATTAATTTGGGTCTGCTGGGTATTTGCATTATCTAACGATAAAGTACCCTGCATGAGCAACACAAATACACAGCATAAATACATACAAAAGTAAATGGACTTATTTTGAGCAGGTTATATTTATCAATATATGAGTTCCTGTAATTAGTGATTATGGTCTGGGGACTTGTACAGATGTGAGTTTAGTAACGAATTCATTATCCAAAAGGACACTTTATTCCTTCCTGTCTAAAGCGTTAGATTAAAGTTATTTTGCTTTATGCATGATATTGCATTTTCCCATAACATATTACATGCTGACACAAGAGCACTGGGAAACTGTCGATCCTTTATGCCTCTTCAATGCTGCAAATACTTTGTATTCTTCCCCTGCTCAGGACCTTTGTTCATGTATAAGCAGGAACACTGAATCTATTCTTACAGAGCTTTGGATCCTCCAAATCTCTCCTGAGCTACACTTAAATCCACAGATTACGCTTATTTAAAAAGAACAATAGCACTAATGCCAGCAAATATGAAAATTACCAAATAACATGTCTTACTGACAGCCTGATAGGTCAGAAACTTCCTATGACAGGAACAGTATTTACGTTGCAAAGGAATCATGGCTTGTGGTAACATAATTAAATATACTGAGCCGTGCCAGATGTTTACACTAGAGATATCTGACAGCACGTTGAATGACCCTGACGTCTCATAAATTGCTGATGAAACACTTTAGATACCAGTGATATCCACACCTGTCTTTTTAGGGGTGGTCTTCTGGAGAACTTGAAATGTTCATCGGTGGTGGTATTTTGGCATGAAGCTTCACGCCAGAGGTTGAAATGGGAAGTGATTAATCCCCTCCCACTACAGATCTGTGCACGTCTGAGCACAGCCACTGCGTGGTGATTTCACCAAAGAGCAGTGACTTTGTCGAGAGTGGGCCCTGAAATATGTAGAGTCACAACAAAAGTCAAGTTGGTCGTTTCTCCTTTCCTTTAGTATGCTCAAGGATGTTTGATTTTCAGAAGGCAGGGCCAAAAGGGTACAGGGCTGATTTATACAGTACCTGCTGCAGGATCCAGTTTTCATCCACCTGTTGTTATAATATATATATATATATATATATATTTATTTATTTATTATCACTATTCCACTTATTTGATAAACTGTAGATTTTTGATTATTGTTCAACATGTTGAGTGAACAACTATAAATGAAAATATAAGTCATATGAAAAACTTTCCTTTATAAAATGGAAAGAATATGTAACAATGCATGTCTGACACCCTGGTTGTCTGATGATGGCATAGTCAAATTCTAGGCTGTCCATTAACTTTAAATGCGCTAGTTAATTGTTTCTTCTCATGAAACGGAGCAGTATTTAATACAATTGTAGAAAGACTGCCTCAAATTTTCTCTGCTGTTATAACTGCTAGGGGAGGTTACTTTGATGAATCAAAGATATGACATTTTCTTGCTAATAAAGGTACCCGGATGGTGATCATACTGTAAATTTGTTTGATAGCAAAAAATATTGAGTGTGTTTTTAGTAAATGTCAATTGAATAACATGCAGATTTTTAAAATCTCAATGTGTGCAAAAACTTTTGCTTGTAGTCTGTGTGTGTGTGTGGAAAACTGTGCCTGGCATATAGAGTTACCGTGTCAAGCATTCTTTGCTGTTAACACCTTTGATTTCCTTAAGACGATAAAGATTGAGAGGCATTTTTAATAAAATGGAGCAAAGATTTTAATATATTTTTATGAGGCAGGTCACTGGGATCCTTCGTTCATGGCTGCCACATGTTTCATGCTTTTGCCAACCATGAAAGGGATTCACAGTTAATTAACTGGCAGGCTTGTAGGGAGAGGAGAGGCTGGCAGGTAGATACCTGCATAGTGAAGCTTCCCAACAGAATGGAGGCTTCACGTACATAACAGACTAATCTCTAGTGACAGCTGGTCCTGAAATTATGTGCTTTTTGCTAGGTTGTAGTAGACATCACTTAAAATCATTCTAGGGCACATTTCACCTCCCTACTCATGTATTCCTCCGCTTAAGATGAATCATGAAATGCGTTAGTACTTCCTTTTCCTGTTACAGATCGCAATTACCATCTTGGGTCTAGTTATAACCTAATGCAAGTACTTATATTTTACCGTTTGTGAAGGTATCACTTCCAAAACAGCCGCAAGCTCTCATCTTTCTGAAGAGTTTGATTCACTCGTTCCGTTTGCTCAGGCGTCAGCTATAGTCTGGGGTTTCAAGGGGGAGTGCCTTGCTGTGAAGCCATTCTCAGCATCCAGATATGTGTGATGAGGGCATGCAAATAGCTGATACCTTGATGGCGGGCTGTTGAAATGCATCACAGCAGCGGGGAACTTTCTGAGTAGTTCAACATCTAGCTATTGGTAAGGACTGGTCTGTCATTGGTTTTTGTCTTTGTGCTTGGTCTGCTCTAGCAAATTGGTTTTCTCATATGTGGGGGTCAACCGATAAGTTGGTAACGTACATCATGGTCATACCCTTGTTCAATAGCTGAACAAAAGATTTGGTAACACTGTACTTGAGAGGGCACAAATAATGTAGTAGCACACTCTTACTTAAAGTATTAATTAACCAAAACACAAGTGTTAATTATCTACTGATTGTTAATCATTAATCAGTCATAATAATTCATGTATTTCATTCAGTTACTGTACACTGCAGTTATTTGCATTGTTCATGATTTGTACACCCTCAAGTAAAGTGTTACCAAAGATTCTTCAGTCGTGTGTGTGTGTGTGTGACTGTGTCTGTACAGTACAGTATGTGTGTTTGTGTGTGTGTGTGGGGGGGGTTCCACTTGGGTAGCTTTATAGATTTAGATGGAGTTGTCGCTGTGGGATGGAGAAGTTGCGACAGGCTTAGAGTTTCTTGAAAAATAAGTGTTGATTCATAATCAAATAATTTCAATGGTTTCTTGTAAAATTGCACTGCAACTAACGCCCAGCATGAGACTGAAGGACACGCTGAGAAGGTTATTTCATGGCAGTGAGACTTATATAGAGTTTGAAAGCAAGACTTTGAATCTACTCATGTAGTAATACATTCCTGGGCTGTTTGTTTACCTACAGATCGCTGGCACGAGTCTTAGTATAACTGTTTCCTAACACAAAGGTCTGGTGAAGATGTACTGGGTGACAGGGGAACTGGTTGACTGAAGGGACGTTCTGGAAACCTTCAGAATGATGGGCCTCCCAGGTGGATTACAAATGTTGGTGTGAGTTAGAAAAGACCTGAAATGAGACCTTGGGTTTAGTAGCCAACATTGGCGGTTTTGGCTGTCGCAGGTCTGCTGGGCGCTTGCAGCTCGGAGACAAGTTGCCTGGCAACCGTGCCGTGTGTGAGAAAGCCGCAGGCTTGGCTGGGGGTGTATTGGCACAGGATTCCCAATGCCCTGGAAGTGTCTGGGCATTGTGGCAAACCCATGCCTGAGACAGAACTGGCAGAGCATGCTGTCATTTAAAGGAAGAGCATGTATGGCTGTTTGTTTTCAAAACCATGGTAGGGAAACATCTTGGCGGGAGTTTGATGTATCTATTAAAAATAAATCAGTTTTAGTTCTAGGTAGTCGGGGATATAATGGTTTGGGGATGTTTATAGAGACTAAGACCTTGAGTGAAAGAGGGAAGCTGACCTGTTTCGATGTTAAGAAACATTCATTTATACAAGATAGGTGTAAAACCATGTGAATCACTTTGGATTAAAAAAAAAATACTTGTTGCCCTTATATATTAAAATTCCAATCCGGGGTTGCGAAATGCTAACTGCTTGCTAACTTCAGTCGTGAAGCTACGAGCTGACATGGTTGGTGGGCGACAGCACAGTCATTTTTTCTGATAAACTCTTTACATAGACCTAATGTGCAGTGCAACTGGCAGGTCACACATGCACTAGTTCTCACATAACCTGTTAATTCAGATTTGCAT